GTTTGTTTATCTCTGTTTTTGTGCCTGTGTTTGCCTCTGTGTTTATCTCTTTGTTTATCTCTTTGTATATCTCTGTGTTTGTCTCTGTGTTGCTCTGTGTTTATCTCTTTGTTTATCTCAGTGTTTGTCTCAGTGTTTCTCTCTTTGTTTATCTCTGTTTATCTCTTTGTTTATTTCTGCCTTTGTCTCTTTGTTTACCTCTGTGATTATCTCTTTGTTTATCTCTGTGATTATCTCTGTGAACATCTCAGTGTTTATCTGTTTGTTTATCTCTGTGATTATCTCAGTTTTTCTCTCTGTGTTTATCTCTGTGTTTATCTCTTTGTTTATCTCTGTGTTTATCTCTGTTTTTGTGTCTGTGTTTGCCTCTGTGTTTATCTCTTTGTTTGTCTCTGTGTTTCGCTCTGTGTTTATCTCTTTGTTTACCTCAGTGTTTGTCTCTGTGTTTATCTCTGTGTTTATCTCTGTCTTTATCTCTTTGTTTATCTCAGTGTTTTTCTCTGTGTTTATCTCTGTGTTTACCTCTGTGTTTATCTCAGTGTTTATCTCTGTGTTTGTCTCTGGTTGTCTCTTTGTCTCTGCCTTTGTTTGTCTGTGTTTGTTTGTCTCTGTGTTTATCTCTGTGATTATCTCTTTGTTTATCTCTGTGTTTATCTCAGTGTTTATCTCTGTGTTTGTCTTTGTTTATCTCTGTGTTTGTCTCTGTGTTTGTCTCTGTGTCTGTGTCTGTGTTTCTCTCTGTGTTTGTCTCTGTGTTTATCTCTCTGTGTTTGTCTCTGTGATTATCCTCAGTGTTTATCTCAGTGTTTATCTCTGTGTTTATCTCTGTGTTTGTCTCTGTTTTTGTCTCTGTGTCTCTCTGTGTTTGTCTCTGTGTTTGTTTCTGTGTTTATCTCTGTGTTTGTCTCTGTGTCTGTCTCTGTGTTTGTCTCTGTGTTTCTCTCTGTGTTTATCTCAGTGTTTGTCTCTGTGTTTATCTCAGTGTTTATCTCTGTGTTTGTCTCTTTGTCTCTGTGTTTGTTTGTCTGTGTTTGTTTGTCTCTGTGTTTATCTCTGTGTTTATCTCTTTCTTTATCTCTGCCTTTGTCTCTTTGTTTACCTGTGATTATCTCAGTGTTTATCTCTGTGATTATCTCTGTGAATATCTCAGTGTTTATCTATTTGTTTATCTCTGTGATTATCTCAGTGTTTATCTCTGTCTTTGTCTCTGTGATTATCTCTTTGTTGATCTCTGTGATTATCTCTGTGTTCGTCTCTGTGTTGATCTCAGTTTATGTCTCTGTGTTTATCTCTGTTTTTCTCTGTGTTTATCTCATTGTTTGTCTCAGTGTTTGTCTCTTTGTTTATCTCTGTGTTTATCTCTTTGTTTATCTCTTTGTTTATCTCTGTGTTTGTCTGTGTGTTTGTCTCTTTGTTTATCTCTTTGTTTCTCTCAGTGTTTGTCTCTGTGTTTATCTCTGTGTTTGTCTCTGTGTTTGTCTCTGTTTTTTGTCTCTGTGTCTCTCTGTGTTTCTCTCTGTGTTTCTCTGTCTCTCTGTGTTTCTGTGTTTATCTCAGTGTTTATCTCTGTGTTTATCTCTGTGTTTGTCTCTGTTTGTCTCTTTGTCTCTGTGTTTGTTTGTCTGTGTATGTTTGTCTCTTTGTTTATCTCTGTGGTGATCTCAGTGTTTATCTCAGTTTTTGTCTCTTTGTTTATCTCTTTGTTTATCTCTGTTTTTATCTCTGTGTTTGTCTCTGTGTTTATCTCTGTGTTTGTCTCTGTGTTTATCTCTGTGTTTGTCTCTGTGTTTATCTCTGTTACTCTCTGTGTTTGTCTCTCTGTTTCTCTCTGTGTTTGTCTCTGTGTTTATCTCTGTGTTTGTCGCTGTTTCTCTCTGTCTTTATCTCTGTGTTTATCTCTTTGTTTATCTCTGTGATTATCTCAGTGTTTATCTCTCTGTTTATCTCTGTGTTGATCTCTTTTTTATCTCAGTGTGTGTCAGTGTATCTCTCTTTATATCTCTGTGTTTATCTCTTTGTTTATCTCTGTGATTATCTCAGTGTTTATCTCTTTTATATCTCTTTTTTTATCTCTTTGTTTATATCTGTGTTAGTCTCTGTGTTTATCTTTTTATTTATCTCTGTATTTATCTCTGTGTTTATCTCTTTGTTTATCTCTTCGATTATCTCTTTGTTTATCTCTGTGATTATCTCAGTGTTTGTGTCAGTGTTTGTCTCTGTGTTTATCTCTTTCTTTATCTCTGTGATAAACGTCGGTTCCTGTTGTTCAGTGTGTGCTTGTTGTGTTTTATGTACACGGGAATGGGGGCGACTAGGAGAACCTCTCTCTCCCTCCCTCTCTCTCTCCCTCCTCTCTCTCTCTCCCTCTCTCTCTCCCTCTCTCTCCCTCTCTCTCCCGGTCTCTCTCTCCCCCTTCCTCTCTCCTCTCTCTCCCTCTCTCTCTCTTCCTCTCCTCTCTCCCTCTCTCTCTCCCCTCTCCCTCCCTCTCCCTGTCTCCCTCTGTCCCTCTCTCCTCTCTCTCTCCCCTCTCCCTCTCTCTCTCTCCCTCTCTCTCCCTCTCTCTCTCTCTCCTCTCTCCTCCTCTCCCTCCTCTCTCTCTCCTCTCCCTCTCTCTCTCTCTCTCTCTCTCCCTCTCTCTCTCTCCCCTCTCTCTCTCTCCCTCTCTCTCTCTCTCATGAACACACGCGAAGGCAAGTCAATTATTCACCTAAAAACCAAACACATATGGTAAAATCAAAATACGGAACTACACTGGAAACCATTTTGTCACTAATGGGACAAACGTAGAAATAACCTATTTTACATAATAGTTTCAGAACTGTTACTTTTTAAGGCCGTGAAAGAAGTAACCCTGCACAAATTATTATTTGAGCAAGCGTCTTATACCGTTCTCTGTTGAAAGAGCATGCTCGATTCCACCTCAAATGTTGTGAAATGAACACAGTAAAGGATGGAGCTACTAGAATATTGCTCGACATGAAATGAAAGTTTATGTGTAAACTGGAAGTAGTCCTGATCATACAGTCTTGTGGATTGTTTTGGTAAACTGTATTCTATAGAATAGACAAGTGAGTTAAACGATTGACCAAGGGTGAGTTCGGTGTATAAATGATGCGCCTTTGCATGTACTTTTTGTTGCTTGTTCCTCCATTTTCTTTCTCATATGCATATTTCACACAGCTGGCTGTAAATATCTGGCGCATTGCAGCCTAAGAATCTATTGGCGCATCGCTCTTTGTGCTCTTGACGATCAACTACAATTTACATGTTATTCATTTCTGTCTGAAACATACATACCATCTGTCAGTTATCTCAGCGTGATCACGTTTCAAAACAAAATCACGTGACTTAGTCGCTCAGAGCGTGGCCACCTGGCGCTATACCTGCAGACCCGTATCAAATTTCATCTTCATGCAAAGGGTTCTCTCTTGAATCGAGAGTGGATTACGAAACAACGTAATCTGACCTCTGTTGAGGGTGAAACTCGATACAGTTCTGAGATGGAATAAATTAAATTTAACAAACGGTTTGTCTTAGGGCGTATCGTTTTCTACAGAGCAGATTTGGCTCATGTTTGAACTGTAAAGTATTGCTTTGAGATTATTAACTTATTGACATATTTAGATAGAGTATGTAGTCAAAAGTCCACATGTGGCTCTGATATTGTTTATTCTATTGAATGAAATAATTGCAGGCAAATGATATTGTCACAGGGTATTGTAATGCAGACATAGGTAGCTATAAGATGCATGATCAATACCCGTGTCAGATTATTGAACTGCCGGGAAAAGAAAAGATACACCCATGGAAGTGAAACACCCGGTAGTGAGGTTTGTTTATTGTTCAACGCCGCAGTCAGCAATATTCCAGCTATATGGCGGCGGTCCGTAAATAATCGAGTCTGTACCAGACAACCCAGTTATCAACAACATAAGCATCTATACACAACTGGGAACCGATGACATGTGTCAACCAAGCCAGAGAGCCTGACCACCCGATCCCGTCAGCATGGGTTGCTGAAGATCAATTCCAACCCGGATCTTCACGTGTCCCGACAGGGGCGTAGCTACCATTATATAAAAAGGCCCGGGCTTACACATGATTTCCGCTAAAGATCACCATGAAAGTTGGGCAAGCCCTCAATACTATTTAAATATAAAGCTGTGTAACCTATCGGGCTTACACGAAACAGTTGGCTTGCTACGCGCCTGGTGAGGTATCTGAATCTGGTATGATGAATTCGTTTCCGACGTCAAGTTTACCGCGACCATATTCAGTCTAGTAATGTTTTGAAAACGTTTGTAATTTTTGGATCAAATACAATTATCAGTTGCCCGTCCAGTATGCATACAATGTAAAAAGGGCACCGGCAGTGACCAGATATCAAATTCTTTGAGTTTCAAGATTGCATAGATTGATGACTACGATGCTAATTACAGGATGTCCGGCCCAGATTCAAGTTTTATAGACGGCGGCGTATAGCTGGAATATTGCCGAGATGGACGTTAACAAAAAACAAACAAACAATCAAAGACACAAACAATCAAACAATACCAACCAAGCAAACAATAGGATTCCATGATCATATCACAGTTCATTACATCTTGAAGGTTTTTCGTTACAACTGAAGGACATTGTGAGAGCGAAATCAACACGTTAATTACAAATCGTTTTCCCTTCCTTTCAGAGAACGGGTAACAAAGTCTTTTGTCGTTTGATTGACTTAACAACTGCACGCTGGTTCATAATAGTGACGAGACTAAGAACCTGCCAAATCTCTGCATTTGCCTCCAGTTTTTCATGGTATACCTCGGTGTAGAGGCTATTGCGCGTTTACCGACATTCCCATATCGAAATAGGGAGTCTACTTTCAGGAATCTTGTTAGAAACTACGTCTTAGAGATGCGATTGCTGTATATGGTACATTGAGAAAAGTTTTTACGGTCATTTAACCGGTTCACTTCACCGTTACCATGGTTACTTATTAATGAACCTTTCAGAAAGCCGGAACTGCATTCCGGTGCTCATTTAAAACAGGAGAGGTTTGAGAGATAAACGTTAGATCACATCTTTTCGTTTCTAATGTGGAAGTCGAAAACTTTAATCGCGAGACAAATGGTTCCATGGGTCAAAATCATCGATCATCAAATTTTATCTTTCTGGAATTTACACGATGTACATTTCTGTCTGAAATGGACTTGTCATCTGTCGAAACAAGATCACGTGACTTAGTCGCTCAGAGCGTGGCCACCTGGCGCTATACCTGCAGACCGGTATCAAATTTCATCTTTATGCAACGGGTTCTGTCTTGGATTACAAAACAGCGTAATATAACCTCTGCGAACGTTGTAACCCTCGATACACTGTTAAGATGGAAATCTAATTTTGTTTTCAGTTTTGTCTTAGGAGGTATAAGCTTTCATTAGACAATATCACCCAGATGGATCTCAATAGTTAAGGGGAAAGAAGCGTTGCGACTTGTAATATAATGCAAAATAATACCCAGTCTTGAATATCCTTAGCAAAAAAATGCCTAAAAATGAAAGTTTACGTTTTTGCCTGACGACGGCCTGGAAATAAACCAGACAATCAAGTGATCGATGAACCGGAATGTCCAGTTAGATAATTTGGAATTATGACTGCTGTGTGAAAGTTCAGAGATTCTGATGCTTTTGATCAAAAACTTCAACTTATTTGAGAAATTGAATCGTTTTACGACATATTTGGTTTGTTGCGTGATGTACATACAAACCCATCATGGACCCTTCTATAGTCTGTCATACAGACCCTGAAACAAACATATCCCATAGTCTGTTTCACAGTCCCTGAACCATATTATTTCCCCTACTGACTCATGTTAGACTCTTTTATTTTCTCATGGCTTTGGATTTGTGTGGCTAAATCAAACAGTTGGTAATATTAATCTATTTCTTAAGCAATTTCGAGAACAATCTGTTGGCATGTATTATCAAGAATGGCATTCCTGTCTAGACAATAGTTCAAGATACCAGTTGTATAGATCACATAAGAGCTTAATTCAACCAGAACTATATCTATCTGTATTGACATCTAGAAATATCAGACGCACACTTGTCAATTTTCGAGTGGGCTTGTTAGACTTATCAGTAAATAAGGGCAGACGATTTTCAATAGAGAGACGTTTTAGGATATGTCCATTATGTAACTCGGCGAAAGAAGATGAAATTCACTTCGCTTTTGTATGCCCACATTATGCTGATTTAAGAAAAAAATATATCCCAAATAATTACCTGTTAAAATATCCTTCATCTGCCTTTGCTTCCATTCTATCCTCCAAAAGTGAAAATGTAATACGTAATCTTGCGCTTTATGTAAAACATGCTGTTTTCCTTAGAAGCAATATCTTATCTGAACTGTAATGTCTTTGTGAAATGCCTGTAGCATGTGCTGTATATATACTTGTATTACTTGTATATGGGCCGGAGGCCTTAAGTACAATAAATATCTTTGACTTGACTTTGACTAGCCCTCCCTGCAATGCTAAAGCCCTAAATGAAGCAAGTCTAGATTTCCTCAGGTTCAGGATCTGAATCTCTGGTCTCCCGGGGGCTCATTTTCAATTTAAATTAGTTTATTTGCCACTATTAAAATTATATGTATTCAGGGACTGAAGGTTGGTCTAGAAAGCCCACGCTAGTCTAGATTACCACAGTTTGAAGAAAGACACTAGGTTCATTTTCTTTATATCTTGTTATCATAATTGATGAACCGTTTTTATTCTGTAAAATATGCTGACTTCAGAGACTGGATGTTTGTCTGAACTAGCAGTGCGCGGGTAGGTGAGTGGGTGTCAGTGGCCTGGTGTTGGGATGAGTGAGTGAGTGATACGTCGACTGAAAGCTTGAGCAATGAAAAACGTTAGGTGATACAGAGCAAAACTAGACAGAAAACATGTAATTAAAAGACTATTCAAGTCAACGTAATTTCATCTATTGTTCAATCAACTTCCACATTAAACTTACTGATATAAAACTGACTGACTGAGTTTAGGTTTACGACGCTTTTAGCAATATTCCAGCAATATCACGGCGGGGGATTATTTTCTCCTAGCGGTATGAAGTGTTCACATGGGTTATCTGCCCGGTAGGTGGCGTGTTATGGGAGTATATAAGCGTGTAGATATTTGAATTTGGCATTCTCGATTAGGTTATACTACACTAAATGAGAATCGCTTGCTCACTGAGCGAGATGCGTATGTAAACAAATGAAGAGATAAAGACATGGGACAGCTGTGATTGGATGAAATAGTGTAAGATGTTTATGTTTTTTAAAAGCATGTCCAACCAGTAATTAAAACTGACCACAATTTTAAGTATTCAGTGCTGTGATTTTCATCACCATGACTTATGCTTATTGTGTGTACAGATATTTCCAGTAGGTGACATTTGGTGCGGATCTGGGGTTGATGTGTTCCGCTTCCTGTGCTCGCAAAACAGAGCCGGACAAGTTGGCCAGATAGTGTGTTTTATGGTAGTTTAAAAGCACAGGAGTGTACCCATGTGCACATGGAATGGCTGTTGATAGCCTGGATTATTTTTAAAAAATATAAGGCTACTATAGAAGTCTATGGGAAAACATTTGGTGTTGTGTAACCTGTAGGTTCGAGTTAACTTTCAGTAATTCATACTTTACATGATTTCCCGGTGTTTATTTCACCATGGAAACATGTTAGCATTAATGTAGAGGCAAAATTTAAAGGCACTGGGAGTAAAGATAGGGCTGTTTTGAGTGGAATAGATTGTTTTAGTGTCCAGAATCATGAACGTTGCTTCGTTTTTGTGGTCGAACAGTGGGAAAAGACCCTCACGGTGAGTCTTGCCATCAAGTAGTGGTTCCACAGCTTCTAAATTTGTTGGAACCGATGTAATTTGACAACAACGCTAAGTTTAAAAATCACCACTACCACAACAATAATGAAATTAATCTAAAGCTAATCCACTGAGGGTAACTGAAGTCAAATGATAGAGAATATCATGAAATTTGTTCACCGCTGGTTGCAGAAGGCGTCCTGAACCCCGTGTTCAAAATGCAACAGTGTAGCAGTATAGACCAATTCTTTCTGCATGTCCCCTTTTGAATAAAACGAGCCTAATTTTCCCTTTTTAAAAATCACCCTTTTTTTCAACTTATGGACTTTCAAACACTTTCGTTTTATTAACAACTGTCTCATTGCTGTTATAGATTTTATGATTTGACATTTAATGTAATCTCAACACTATTTTCAGCTTGTAGAATGCCTGTTGAATGGGGAGGTGTATCTTCACAAATACAGCAGAAAAAGAAGCTTTACATCCAGTAATAGTATTTCGACATGCCGGCCAGAAGTCTGTTGTTACAGCAGTGTCACTAATCAAGCATACTCCTTTGCTTTCGATATGTCTTCACCGCCTTGTAGAGTTGCAGTACTTGGACATGTAGGTACATATAGTACATTTAAGTGTCCCAGTCCAGTTAAAAGGCACCAAAATGTCTCACTACCAAATTCCATCCTCAGTCATCCTCATTATTATTAGAAATTTCTGACAGTGTCCCTTAGCTCCTCAGTGTGTAGTATTTCAGCTTCCCAGACATGAAATAAAGGGCTGTACATCAATCCAGAAGCTGCTTAGATGTAAATAATAACAACTGACCCTTGTGGAATGTAATATATGGGTCTGAATTACATTTTATTGGCATGAGTGTTAGATATCTTAAAATTATCTCCCTGTTTACCCCAAATACATTTTGTGTCTTTCTCTAACCCAGTAACCCATAAATTACTGCAGAGAAGCTCTGTTTTTAGCTGATATTGTCAAATACTGTTAATGTAATTAAAATATTCAGTTTAGGGCAGGGTAAATCCAATAAATTTCCAAAGTTATGTGGATTTTTTCACTTTGTTCCCTCTAAACTGTAGAAGCTATACATGAAGTTGGCAAAGTGTAACAGCCTCAAACAATACACAGTCAATAGTTTTGAATTTCTGGAAGTATTTCAAAGTCTTAGCTTGATGAATCAATGTGATTCAAAATTAAGTTCTTATCATGCTGTGGTCTAAAAAGTGATTTCATCTGTTGAAAGGGTCATTTGCCTTGATCGACTAACAGGCGGCAGAAGGTACTGTGGTCAGTGTTTCAGACTGCTAGGCATAGTCAAACCCTCACTCATTACATTCTGGCAAAAGTTCATCATCCAGCCTTACATATGTCAGGATGTTAAAGCTGCTGTAATGTTAAACCTGTCCAATTTCTGGCCTGAATTCAATGATTTTTTGTCGTTCAAAGATATAGTTTGGATTGATATGATCAAGGCAGTCCCAGTCATGCATGGAATTAACCCATGGCCCCCCTTTTTGTGAAATAAGAGTAAAACTCCATGGTATATGTATGATTTAAAACTTTCTCTATTAATGCAGAAGTGCATTTTGTATAGCTTTGGTGAAATAGACATGATATAACTCTTACAGCTCTGTCAGTGCAGCAAATCCATATATTCTTGTGCCATATAGATATGTTGGACAGGAAAAGTATTGAAGCTTCATGCAGTTTTATATATTTTCTGAGAAGTTGCATGTATACACAGTACATAAGTCACAGATTTGCCTAGGGCAAATGTTTCCTAAATTACTCCTACAGGTTATACTACACTAAATGAGAATCGCTTGCTCACTGAGCGAGATGCGTATGTAAACAAATGAAGAGATAAAGACATGGGACAGCTGTGATTGGATGAAATAGTGTAAGATGTTTATGTTTTTTTAAAAGCATGTCCAACCAGTAATTAAAACTGACCACAATTTTAAGTATTCAGTGCTGTGATTTTCATCACCATGACTTATGCTTATTGTGTGTACAGATATTTTCCAGTAGGTGACATTTGGTGCGGATCTGGGGTTGATGTGTTCCGCTTCCTGTGCTCGCAAAACGAGCCGGACAAGTTGGCCAGATAGTGTGTTTTTATGGTAGTTTAAAGGCCAGAGTGTACCCATGTGCACATGGAATGGCTGTTGATAGCCTGGATTATTTTTAAAAAAATATAAGGCTACTATAGAAGTCTATGGGAAAACATTTGGTGTTGTGTAACCATTAGTGCACTCCCGGCCTTTCAGCATTTAACATGTTTGTATTCTAATATTGTATTTCTGTATGTTTCAGATGCTCATGATCATCGTTCGTGTGATGTGGCATGAGTGTTGTAATACATGGATGGTTTATGGACTGCAATCAGGCCGTTTATAATGCGGTAATATGGTATTGTAAGCCGTTATAATACTGTAATACTGGAATGTATACCATATGTCGGCTGTCGAGTCTTTATAATACTGTAATACTGGAATGTATACCATATGTCGGCTCTCGAGCTGTTATAAAACGGGAATGTTGGAATGTATACCATATGTTGGCTGTCGAGCTGTTTTGATTTTGGAATGTCGAGCGGTTATACTACGGTAATATGAGAATTATGAATTGGTAGTTATGATATTGTCCATCGAATACCTCCTGTGTTTTGATGACAGAAATTGTCAGCATACTGTGTATTATGAACTGCGAGGAAATACTCCTTTTGTGAACAAACTAATAAAGCATTTATTGAGAAATGGAAGAATTTCTGTAATAGAACATTTAAGCATTTCAATAATGATACTATCAGGACCAGCTGCTTTTCCACATTTCAGTTGTGATATTGCATTTGTGATTTCATCATCCGATATAGGCGAGTCTAGTACAAGTTTATCTACTTCATCATAGTCCCCATTAAAATCATCCGAAATTTCTAAAATTTCTTGGTCGGAGTCAGACTGAGTCAGCTCTCTATGTTAAATATGCATTTATTCGTCGTAACGAGCACTTACAATTAATAATGCCCTAATGTATATCTCTACAACATGTATTCCAACTCTGTATATAACTCTCTTGTAATAGGGCCGCTGGCCTAAACTACAATAAACGATTGATTTGTCTTGTCTTGTCTTGCTTCTTCTGCACCTTATTTTCAGCCAATCACATTCCAGCTTTTTCGTAGATTTCCGCCACTTCCGGAGAGTTTTTCACCTCGACAGAAGCGTGGCACATCAGAAGGGGATCGGGAGTGGGCGATTTTCTGCGGGAACTGGTGAATATGGCGGTATTTCAGTTGAGGCGGTTACTTTGCACATAACTTGGGGGGTGGGTAGGTGGGGGTGTCATTCACATTGCACTTGCTTCTCCAGACGAATCATCATCACCTCCCTTGGCCGTAGGTTATGATCAGTCCCTACTGTGACGGTAATAGTTTGGCGGTATATGTTTGTAACATTTCCGGGCTTAATGATAATGATCAGTCCCTACTGTGACAGTAATAGTTTGGCGGTATATGTTTGTAACATTTCCGGTTTAATGATAATGATCAGTCCCTACTGTGACAGTAATAGTTTGGCGGTATTTGTTTGTAACATTTCCGGGTTTAATGATAATGATCAGTGTCTATGCATACAACTTCCAACAGTGTGGAGCTATGCTATACAAGCGAAAAGGTGCAGGAGGTGATATTTACATAATAAAATCTAATAAATAAACAATAAAATAATATACGCCTCTTCGGGAATGTTCAGTGAATTGACAAAAAGTACGTACGATCAAACCAAATGAACTTACCTCTGATCCGCTTACTGATAACACTATTTATGACCAACATTGCCACCTTAGCCAACCATATCGGGTTGATGACGTCTTTCCGTCCCACAATGCAGTTTTCTGAGCTTCCGGGGCGTCGTTGTAGTCTGTATCGGTAAATGACTCCATTGTTACCGTGACTGCAGTTACCAATAGCATGACCAACGACCGTCGAAGTTTCATGTGAATAAAATAACAGTAACATAGATTCAAGAATTCTCAATTGCTTTTCAAATGGTCTATAGTTTGTTTTCAGATTTGATCAACATGAATAATAATATTCCTAACCCCTTGTAACATATAAACATGTTACCATTTAGGACACACCCACAGGGTTTTCTTTGGTTGGCATGGTTTTCAAACCCTGCAATTTGTTGTTCACCAAGGAGTGTTTTATAGTTGTTTTACAAGTGGAAACCAGTTCATTAAGGTTGAGGTCAGGCACTTTTCAGTCGTTACCGAATGTGTCATTTACACTCAATTAAAACCTGTTTTTAACCTAATAGTATTTAACGTTCATAAACTGTCACAAGTTAAAGTACAATTACTGGATTATTTCACTCTGTGCATTTATACTCTGTATATTTATTCTTGTTGCAGTTTGTAAAACTAACAACACTATTAAGTATAATTATATTTAATGGTTTTGGGTCGTTGATTTATCCAAAGTTTTACTTTATGTGTAATGGTATCTGGGTTGGTGTGGTTTCTGTTTCACGGACAATAAACACGACAAAAGGTTTCACAGTGATCTCAGCGCTGAGTTGGTCTTTGGTTAGTCATAATGAATGGGTGTTACATCAATATTTAAGCACGAAGATCCCTTTATTGAACATGACCCAGAAAGTGTGTACCTTGTCAATACCAAAGAATGTACCTTCTCAGTACCAAACAGATACCTGGTCAATACCGCAGCGAGTAACCAATCAATAGAACAGTGAGCAGTTAGTCAAAACCACCACTAGTCAATACCGCAGCGAGAATCGAGTCAGTACCGCGGCGAGTATCGAGTAAGTACCGCAGCGAGTATCGTGTCAATACCGCAGCGAGAATCGAGTCAGTACCGCGGCGAGTATCGAGTCAGTACCGCAGCGAGTATCGTGTCAATACCGCAGCGAGTATCGAGTCAGTACCGCAGCGAGTATCGAGTCAATGCCACAGCGAGCACCTTGCCAATACCATAGCCGGCAATCTTCCACACATTTACCCCATATAGTAATTTCAGTCTGTGACTTTAGAACTATACGTGTCCATCACTCACTACCTTATAAATCAGCCGGTGAAAACAATATGCGTCATTACGTATCAAACTATCGAAACAAACTATAGGTCAGTTGACTTGTGGGTCTCGCACCGATATTTTCACTAGACAATAGCACTTCTATTTCACCAATTGTTACTTCAAAGAATTTTTTTTTTATTATATTATCGGCAATTGTCAACCATGTATATCGGCAGTCCCGCACTTCTTCAGCAAAGTGGCATTCCGAGTTTGCGTTTTCACAACGTATTACGAATTCTTTTTACGCAGATCACGTGGCCACATGTTCTTATTGTTACGAGATAGTTGACTGAAAATACATTTCAGAGAAAACATCGACCACATGCGACTTACAACTATCACCACATTATAATTCCAGTTTAAACAAGTGTGTCTGATGAGACATTGTTATTGAGATTGATTGTGTTGATTTTATCATGATCATTTGTTATATCGCACCCATAGTCCGTTAGTGTTAGTTGTACAAGGTATTTAATCGCATCGATGCAGGTGCCAGCTGGGTGGTCCGAACGTGTGGCGTGTGGTTAGGCTATGGAGGCTACCGTGTGATGTTGCTGAAGTGTGGTATACACTGACCCTGGAACGATCCTGGGTAGAGCAACTTCATTGTTCGTAGTCCGTAATTGGGTACGGAGTGACGAGTTGAGCGGTATCGTAGTGAATACGAATGACTCACCCACATGATCCCTTGACCACCTTTTGCGGTCGATGGCAATCTTAGTATAGATGTACGAAAGCGTAGGGCTGCGCAATATAACCGGTTTACCGGTATTAACCGATTCAGACATGAACAATTTACGTATTGCGATACGCTGATAGAAAACCGGTATTTTGACTTGTATTCGGAAAACTTCGTAACACTCGGAAACCTTGATGATTGTGGTAATGGTGGTGGGAATGATCGTGGTGAAAATTACATTTAAATATTATCTATATTCTTATTTTGTCATGATTAAAAGTTTTTATTAAAGCTTAATGAAGCATAATGATTTTGTTGTGTTTTTGCTTTATAAATATAGCGTTAACTTGATCATTAGTAGTTTATTGTTTAAAAATACATCGCAATATCAGCTTTCGCATCGCAATATATCGCAATATGAAAATTCTCTGCAATACCCACCCCTACTAGTTTGATATCTTGAATTTACTGCTTAAAGAGAGTTTTCTTGTTATTACAAACCTTTGTGCATATATGTCGACATTCATTGTTCAGATGTCGTCAATACATTTACGTAGCTTTGATTATCTCCGTATTTGCTCAGCTCCATAGCCATGTTTCACCAAAATATTAAAAATAATTCTTTTGCGTTAAACCGATTGTTCAGCTCACACCTATTTGCCTAACTCTTTCGTATATAAGTAATGCTTTGTGTGTTTTAAATGCACACGAACACGCACGCACATGCACGCACACACAATAAATATGCCAAGCTCACACTATGGGCATTGCTTCCGGAATGTGATATAGAATACCGCGATTAATGCTTGCGTGTCATTGGACGTTAACAGTTACTGAAAGGCTCAACAATGTCCCGGTTTACAGAAAGAAAAGAAAATGACTTTGAAGACAGTCGCAACTGGTATGCATGTATTATCAAAGAATCCATGCCCAGTTAAAATTAAATTATTTGGGTTTATTGTTATTATTTACGACGTTTGGGTACAAATTCACAATTTACATTTGAGTGAAAACCCAAATGCCACAACAAAGGATGTGAGTTTGCAATTTATGGTGGAATTTGAATCTCTCAATTTAAGTGTCAGTTTCAATATCATCTTGGATATGTTTGTTTCCAAGCCGTGCTTTATAAATATTACCTTGTGATGGTTATCATACGGCTTAAAACAGCATTATGTTTTCCAAGTATCCAAATATTATTTTTATATTATAAAGTTCGAATTGTGTAGATGTATAGTTAATAACTATAACATGGAATTCCGTCCATCCCTCCGTTCCCAGACAATTGTGTTCAACTAATATCGTGCAAAGTATTGGTCAACTTTGAAAAGCAGCTGCTTTGCCTAAAGGAGAGGTGCAGCGCAAATTATAATGGTGATATTTTATTTTTTCCAAGAAATACAGCAATCTAAACATTTGAGGTAAGAAACGTTTGTTCAACCAATAACTTGAAAACTTGAAAGGCTGGTCGACTAAGACATTACGGAAAATTCATTTTGAATGGACAGTTGCTTGAAATTGTTGCATCATATAAATACTTTGGTGTTCACTTCTCTTCCTCTGGATCATGGCATATTATACAGAAAACCTTGGCTGACCAAGCATAGAAGGTATTGAATATTCTCAAATAATCAGATTCGATTATTTACAGACCGACGCCATATAGCTGGAATATTGCTGAGTGCGACGTAAAACTAAACTCACTCACTCACAAGTATTATTGAGGGAAATACGTCAGTTGATTTTAGAGAAGCGTGGTGTGAAATAGTGCCATGTTGGTGACTTTTAGGGATGTCGTACCCTTGAAAAATATCAAACTCTGGTGGCAGCATACACTTTTGCTGCTTCAGTTTGTGGTATGGGGATCAACCACCCAAAGGCCATCGCCGAGTAGCAGGCAAGTTGAAAATGTACATATGAAATAATGAATTGAAGGATGTGTATACTTTTATACTATTGCAATGGGAAGCTTTTATATTTGTCAGTTTATTTGTCTGAAATATCAAAGGAAAAATTAGAACAATGAATTAGATTTTAATATTTATTTATCCATGAAATGATTATACATTGTTTGAAAGTAATTTCGAATATCACAATGAAATATTTATTTATTTGTTAAAATTTGAAATGAAATTCAAATTAATATATAGATACTTAGGACTACTTATATTTATGAAAATATATTTCTTGTAGCCATCTTATGATACTGTTGTGCAGTTCAAAACGTCTATTTGGTCTTTGTATGGGCCTGAATGCTTACCAAACTTGCGACTTCATAAGAGCTTGAAAGGCATTTTGTCTTCGGCAAATGCGTTCCTTGCACCTTGTCATCGCTGAATTGTAAGCGGTAAACCATGTATTTACCAAATTCCCAGGTGTCATTCAACTTTACGGTCCTTGGAACTGACTGGAATGGACCAGATTGTTTATCTCCAACTGAAACCGCCACCACGCAGTCATCATACTCAGCTGGTAAAACAAATTTGTCACAGGTAGAAAAATGCCCTTTCCTCAGTGACTCGTATAAATCAAGTAGCGATACGTCTAGACTACATTCCACAAAGCCAAACGACCTTATGATCTTACCCTACACTCTATTTGAACTGAAACGAGTAGCATTTTGGTTTTCCCTGCTGCACGTTTTCCCCAGTTACGACAGACAGACAGACAGATAATTAAAAGTTTAATTCGGTGTTCTGGCAACAGGGTCCATTAAAACCTTGTCCATCATAATGGTTTGCTAAGTTGCTAAACTTTTATAAAGTAGTAAAGCTGCCACATGCTTTAATATAATCAAGAATGACATTCTGAACTTCATGGTCAACGATATTCCTTGAGCCCAATTGTCCAGTCAATGAGATGTCAATATTGTGAGATGTAAGAGATTCCACCATCTCCTTACGTTGATTTAAATATTTTTGGCAATGCAGTTAATAATGAGCCACATTATCTAGCTTATTACACACTGTGCAATTTACAGAAATATCTTTATTAATAATATTTAGATATGCAACAAGACCGCAATGCCCAAGTCGAAATCTGGTTAAAGAACCTCTTCTCTACGGTTGCTTCTTGATAATTTGGATTTAGTTACAAAACGCTCGATGCCATACAGATGGCGTCCCTTTAAGGATGAGGTCCATCACTGTTGCCATTTCGTTTGAGCATGGATCTTGCTGACGGTGCATAATTCTGCAGGAGAGGGCAATATTGTCTCATCCTGTTCTGATCCACCAAAGTCTAATGCAGCTTTTGCCGATTTATCAGCTTTTTCATTTCAATATAGTCCAACATGAGCAGGTATCCATGAAAATTCTACATTTAAAAGATCTTTACTTAATTCATTAAAGTGTCGAGTATAATAATATGCTAATAATATGCTGAGGAGAAACCTGTCTGAACATGACCGCCGATACAGGTCTTAAGAATGACACCAAGCTTCAATGACTGCTGCAGCTAATCGTACAAACTCCCTTTGCCCATTTATAATCCGGACAAATACGCTTGACGCGCTGGGTTGAAACTGACGCGGGTAGAAACCAGAAACAAGACATATTTTTTTTAGGCCTTATGATAAAGTATATGATTATCGGTATTGTCTTGCTGTGAAAGGTATAGATAGCTGGTGAAATCGCTTTTGTATAGTCATGGTTTTTGCAAGGTGTGGGCAAATCAAAGTGTTGGAAATATCTCTACTTTCATATCATTATTTAAGCAAAGGTGGACTGACATAGATAACCAGTTGTCGTCATCTGGTATTATGCTTGTTTCAAATCGGGATTTCTATCGTTGGCTCAAAGAAGGTGTAGCTTTTGAATACTATATCTATAGTGTCAGTGTAAAACAGTTTCGCATTTTCTAAAGTAGATTTCGTTGCTCAAGTCACAATTTGATGATAAATACTGGAGACATCTAGGTGTTATAAGAGAGGATCGCCTTTACCCGCTTTGTATCAAACTGATACCCGGCTCGTTACGGGATAAATTTCAATCCTATAACATAGAATGTAGAATTCCTTAATTCAATGATCAGTCAAGGAAATGTTTTAATATTTATTGTGAGGTCAAGTGATTCATACAAAGATACATATACATAAAATATCTTCAAACAATAAGCTTATATACACATTTCGATGGAGGAAATTAGCATCTCAAATGGTAGAGCTTGCATGCATAACAATTAAAATATTTCTTCTTTCAACATCATATAATAATCATTCTGGAACCATTCATACAAAACATTTTAACATCTCAAGTATACCTCAGCTGTCGTCATATAAACCATATATGAATGATATTTGCCATTGAACAATCATATATATTAGTTCACTGTCAGCATATCAATGATGTAAAGTACATCTAATGTGTCCATACATGAGTGCGGGCCGGTGGGGTGGCCTAGTGGTTAAAGTGTTCGCTCGTCACGCCAAAGATCCGGGTTCGATTCCCCACATGGGCACATTGTGTGAAGCCGATTTCTGGTTTCCCCGCCGTTATATTGCTGGAATATTGCTTAAATCGACGTAAAACCAAACTCACTCACTCACTCATACATGAGTGCAATATAAGCACAACTAATATATGACAAGCACATCCAAGTCACTTACATATTCAATAACGGCTGAGATATTATGCCTGACAATGTTCATGCAAGTACACTGTAGACAAGACATTGCCACTTTCTATTCATTAATAATACATTTCAGTCATGAAATTAACTGACATAATTTATAGAGTTTTACAAAAGAACTTGCCTTTAAAATTGAATGTAGAATTCCTTAAGTCAATGATCGTTCAAAGAGATGTTTCAATATTTATTGGGAGGTCAAGTGTGTTGAGAGGAAATCAATGACCTCTTTTAACAGTCGAAACATCACTGATCAATATTGGAATTCTTTTGCGATTGGCCAAAACATAAAATATGTCTTTCAATTACGATTTTGGTAGATATCATTTTACTCTATTTTACTATTTCCAATATATTTGTAGGGTTCACAGGGTCAGAGCCACTATCAGAGAGAGGGCAGAGACATGGGAGGAATCGGCCCAGCAGATCCTGACAGCAGCTGCTATCACCATCTCAGAGGGAGCCAGTGCCAGGAAGGCGCCTGTCCCAGATCGACTCCGGAACGTGCGACGCCAGAGATGAAGGGTTGACGGTGCGCTACCCGAGCCAGAGATCCCAGCAGCAATGCCGATACCTGAATAGTATAAGACAACAGGAGGTGGTAAGCAGTTTCTTCAGTACGATGGCGGCGTGGTAAGGGCCCCAACCTAATCCTCATCTTTCTGACGACAAAGGAATCTCGACCTCCTCGCACGTTCCCATCACTGGTTTGTTGATGGAACATTCAAAACGGTCCCTAAACTCTATTACCAGCTTTTCACTCTTCCATTGTTTGACCAGCAATGTTGTGGTTTCCTTGCGTGTATGCTCTCACACCCAACAAAGAGGAGACGACATACAGGAGGACTGTGCCCCCAGACTGATACTGATGCTAGACTTCAGAAAGCCATATGTTGTGTCGCTGCCCTCTGAATTTCCAGGAATCGAGGTAAAGGGATGTTTTACCACCGGGTCCAGAGTGCAGGACTTCAGGCAGAATATGCAGCATTGTACATTGACTTGTCAGCCAACCTGTACCCTCTGTCACTTTCATTAATTACTGCATATGACATTTATAGCCTTAATTGGTCAACCCTTGCTGTGTCTGCCATTACATCAACTGGTCCAAGTAAGTGCTTTTTGATTGTTTACTCCGTCCATCATCTCTTCGTCTGTTCATTGTTGTCTATAATTATATATATGTTCATATCTATATTGTCACCAGTCCGGTATTCCGACTGTCTGTGTAGGGACGACCGTCAGCAGGATAATGCCGTTGGTAGTTGCTGTTGTTTACACCAGTGGCCTAAAGCCGAGATACAACTGTGTATCATCCACATATAAGTGAAAGGATAGGTCATGTCTTCTGGCTATTTCTTCAAGAGGAAGAGTATAGATTGTGAACAATACGGGCCCTAGGACTGATCCCTGAGGAACTCCATATTTAAGGTGATGCTTACTTGATGCTGAGCCATTGTTTGGCACTGGTCAGTTAAGTACGCCTTGAACCATGATAGAGCGTTACCTTTGATTCCAATGACGTTTTCAAGAAGGGCAAGGGTAATTACATGGTCAATGGTATCAAAATCTGCTGATAGGTCCAGCAGGACCAGCACAGCAGCACCCTTAGTATCAACTTCAGTAAGAAGGCTATACACGTTATTACTCAAAGGAACCACCAACGGTGGTACATGAGTTACATTTTACACATAGTTACATAGAAATTACAGCAAGATGGCATACACAACATTCAGAAATCCTGACAAGTTTTTTCAGGACATGTATCTTATTATTCCCAACAAGTTGCTTATATTTTGACATGTTAGGCCATTTATAATAATAATCACTGATAAAAGAAGAACGTTCATTCGCCAATGCTTCTACATCTAAGTAAATAGTGGAATTTGTCGCCAATTTGTTGAGAGTTACACAAAATCTCTCTACACGAGGTTTGTTCGACCAATGACCCTGTTCTATAGGCAATTTGTGATTACTTGTTCTAAAATATAGTAAAGGTTTATAAATGTTATCTGTGATTAATAAATACTTTTCAAAACATGGTGAATCTTTATTAATGGAATAATAGAAACCTTTTGGGAAGCCCGAATGACACTTTGGTTAGATTTTTCGAAGTTTTCTTAGCGCTAAGATAGTCGTAAGTGCCATACATTAACATT